CGATGCTAGGCCGAGTGGTGGAGACGGTGGCGAAGAAGGCGGGGATGATGTGTAGTACTCTATACTTAGTTTTTGTTCTTTTCTTCTTCTTTTTTGTGTGGGCGTCTTTCTGGCCCTTTGTAAGATACTTTTGGAATGAAATGATTGCAGCCCTTTGCCGTATGTTACTGGGTCTTTTATTCTTTTTCGAACGCTTTTCTTCAAGTAGTTGCTTTAGAAGAGTTGCGTTGGTATGTATTATCTCAAACATGGCCGAATATATCTTTGATTGAATCTGGGTAAGTCTCATGTCGTCGTGGTTGACTCAAACGAAGTTAACTTGTAAGTCAGACTTAAGTCGGGTATAAGTTGATTCGAGCGAGGTCGAATGATTTCTCTTAATTAGTTCGAACGAGGTCGAATATAAGTTGATTCGAGCGAGGTCAAATGATGACTTTTAATTAATTCGAACGAGGCCGAATGTGAGTCAATTCGAGCGAGGTCGAATGATAACTTTTAACTAATTCGAACGAGGTCGAATGTAAGTCTATTCGAGCGAGGTCGAATGATGACTTTTAATTAATTCGAACGAGGTCGAATGTGAGTCAATTCGAGCAAGGTCAAATGATGACTTTTAATTAATTCGAATGAGGTTGAATGTTAGTCGATTCGAGCAAGGTCGAATGATAACTTTTAATTAATTCGGACGAGGTCGAATGTAAGTTGATTCGAGCGAGGTAAAATAAAGACTTTTAATTAATTCGAATGAGGTCGAATATGAGTCGATTCGTGCGAGGTCGAATGATGACTTTTAATTAATTCGAACGAGTTCGAATGTAAGTCGATTCGAGCGAGGTCGAATGATGACTTTTAATTAATTCGAGCGAGGTCTAATGTAAGTCGATTCGAGCGAGGTCGAATTATGACTTTTAATTAATTCAAACGAGGTCGAATGTGAGTCGATTCGAGCGAGGTCGAATGATGACTTTTAATTAATTCAAACGAGGTCGAATGTGAGTCGATTCGAGCGAGGTCGAATGATGACTTTTAATTAATTCGAGCGAGGTCGAATGTAAGTCGATTCGAGCGAGGTCGAATGATGACTTTTAATTAATTCGAACGAGGTCTAATGTGAGTCGATTCGAGCGAGGTCGAATGATGACTTTTAATTAATTCGAACGAGGTCGAATGTTACTTTCTGGATTGGCGTAATGTTTAAACTTGGTGGAGACACGTGAATATCATGTGTTTGCATACTTTGCTTTGTTTATACGTATACTGGAGAAGTTTACATGTTTTGCTCTGCTTATACATACATTGGAGAAGTCCCAGCCTATATAGTCCCTTCATTGGTCGACCTGAAGAAGTATTTGAGAGGTTGAACGATGAACTTATACTTAACTTCGAGATGCCCCCTACGTCGCCTCGTTAAAAACCTCCCCAAGAAAATCCAATTGGGACAAAACTCAGGTGAGGGAAAAAGAGTACGACTCGGAGGACATCTGTCCTTAGAAGTTGAAGTATTTGAGATGGGCAACGTTCCAATTGTTTGGAAGTAATTTTCCCTCTATTGTTTCTAGTTGGAAAGATCCTTTGCTTACTGCCTCCATGATTTTGTATGGGCCGTCCCAATTAGTTCCCAATTTGCCTTCCCGTGGGTCCTTGCTCGCTTATGTTTTGGCCTTGAGTACATAGTCCCCGATTTTGAGCGGTCTAACCTTGGCTCTTTTGTTATAGTACCGCTCTGCCTGTTATTTTTGGGCTATCATTCTTACGTAAGCCATGTCTCTTCGTTCTTCGGCCTCGTCGAGGTCTTGCCTTCTGTTTTTATCGTTGCTTGGCCTGCTATCATTTGAATATCTTAGACTTGGTTCTCCGACCTCGACCGGTATCACTACATCAGTCACATAGACTAGTGAGTACGACGTTTCCCCTGTGCTTGTCTTTGGTGTAGTGCGGTATGCCCATAGCACTTCCAGCAGCAGCTCTAGCCACAATCCTTTGCGTTTTCGAGTTTCTTTTTCATTATATTCAATATCGTTTTGTTGGAGGATTCAGCTTGTCCGTTTCCTACTAGGTGATATGGAGTGGAGAGTATTCTTTTGATGTGCCATTTTTCGAAGAACTCGGCGACCTTCTTCCCTGTGAATTGGGGTCCGTTGTTACTACTGATTTCCTTGGGAATGCCGAAGCGGCATATGATGTTCCTCCATATGAAGGCGATCACTTCTTGTTCGCGTATTTGGGTGAATGCACCTGTTTCCACCCATTTAGAAAGACAGTTAAAACCAAAAGAAATCATACATTACCTCGTCCTGTTGGAAGGGCGCCGACGATATCCATTCCCCATTTGATGAAAGGCCAAGGCGAAGTGACTGAGTGGAGGTGCTTGCCCGCTTGGTGGGTCATAGGGGCGTATTTTTGGCATGGTTCGCATTGACAAAATCAGCTGCTTCCTTTTTCATTGTGGGCCAGTAGTAGCCTGCTCGTATGAGACATCTGACTAGGGCTCGATTGCCGGTGTGAGCCTCGTAGTGACCCTCGTGGACCTCTTCTAGGACGCGTCGTGTCTGGTTTGGTCCCAAACATTTTGCTAGAGGGCCGCCATACGTTCTTTTGTACAGATCGTTGTTGATGATGCTATACCTGGCTGCCTGCATTCGAAGCTTTTTGGCTTCTTTTTTGTCGTTTGGGAGCACGCCGTCCTGCAGGTAGGCGACAATATGGTTGTGCCAGTCCCAAGTTAGGTTAATAGCGCGTACCTCAATTTGGTCGATGGTCGAGTGGAGGAGAGTGACCACATTCTCCTTCCCAGTTATGCTTTTAGTGGATACTGCCAATTTTGCGAGGCCGTCCGCCTCAATGTTCTGCGCTCGAGGTATTTGGTCAAATTGGTATTCGTCGAACTCGGGCAGTAACTTGCAGATCTTGGCCTGGTATTTTTGTAGCCTTTGTTCCTTGATTTGGAAAGTCCTTGTGTCTTGATTGACGACGAGTTGTGAGTCGCATCGAAGGACTACCCATCGTGCTCCGTACTTGAGTGCCAGTTTTAACCCTGCAATCATGGCCTCATTGTTAGTCATAGCGGGACACTGTATGGACTGGCAAATTATCTCGCCTATTGGGACCTCGAGTACGAGTCCCACTCCAGATCCTGACGTGTTGGAGGCGCCATCGTGTATAAAATCCATAGATCGTGTGTCTTGGGGGAAGTATCAGTAGCTTCCCTTTCGACCTCGGGCATTATTTTGGTGCTGAAGTCGGCGACGAAGTCGGCAAGTACTTGCGACTTTATCGTTTTTCGCGGCTGATAGGTTATATTGTGATCGCTCAATTTAATGGCCCATTTTGCCAACCTACCCGACAGCTCGGGCTTATGTAGGATGCTCCTTAGAGGAAAGGTCATGACCACCGAGATGGGGTGGCACTGGAAATAAGGTCTAAGCTTTCGTGAAGCTACGACTAAATCCAAGGCTAGCTTTTCGAGGTAGGGGTACCTCGTTTCAGCGTCGACCAAGGTCTTGCTAATGTAGTAGATTGGAGATTGCGTACCTTTATTTTCTCAGACTAGGACTACGCTTACTGCAACGTCGGACACGACCAGGTATATTAGGAGACATTCTCCGAGTTATGCCTTAGAATGCAGTGGGGGCGAAGATAAGTACGCCTTTAGTTCTCTCAGGGGGTCGACGCACTCGGAATTCCATTGGAGTCCATTGTCCTTTTCTAGCACGCCGAAGAATTTGTGGAATCTATAAGAGGATCGTGAGATGAACCTCGATAGGGAGGCTATACGACTGGTCAGCACCCGCTTCTTGCTGGTCAAGTTTTCTGGTACTCCCTCAATATCCTTGAATTGGTCGGGGTTAACCTCGATGCCTCTTTGCGACACCGAAAATCCAAGGAATTTTCCTGAGTTTAGCCGAAGGAGCATTTCTCGGGGTTCAATTTCATATCGTACCGCCTGAGTATGTCGAAGGCTTCCCTCAAATGGTCGATGTGGTCTTCCTTTCTTTTTGACTTGACCAACATGTCGTCCACATATACTTCCATGGTTTTGCCGAGCTGCTCTTTGAACATTTTGGTTACTAACTTTTGGTATGTCGCCTCTGCGTTTTTCAATCCAAACAACATAACTCTGTAGCAGTACGTCCCTTGGTGGGTGATGAAAGTGGTTTTTTCCCGGTCTTCCTCCTCCATGAGGATCTGGTTGTAACCTGAATAGGCGTCCGGGAAACTTAACAGCTCGTGCCCTGCTGTTGTGTCGATGAGCTGATCAATGTGAGGCAGTGGGAATGAGTCTTTCGGGCACGCCTTGTTCAGATCAGTGAAGTCTACGCACATTCACCACTTCCCATTTTCTTTTTTACCATGACCACGTTGGCGACCCGTTGGGGGTATTTTGACTCCGTGATAGAGCCGTTTTCAAGTAATTTTTCCACCTCTTCACGGACGACATCATTTATTGCGGCGTTGAATTTTCTTCTAACCTGTCGTACCGGAGGGGTAGAGTGGGTTGACGTTCAATTTGTGTGTTGCTATTTCCTGCGGGATGCCCGGGATATCTACATGAGAGAAGGCAAACAAGTCCACATTGTTAGTTAGAAATTGATGGAATTTACCTGGTTCTTGTTGTTTGTGTCAGATATAGGACTTTTTGTTGTGGTCGCTCTTATCGAGCTGAACGGGGTCGAGGTCTTCAACAGTTGATCCCGTAGTTTCTACGACTTCGGGTTCTTTGATGACATCTTTCCCTTCATCGGCGTTCGACCTCAATCGCGTTAATTGCTATGCTTCTGCGCCTTTGCCTTTTAACTGTTGAGTGTAAGTGCAGTCTTGGGCAATGCGGTAGCATTCTTAGACTGTGCGCTGCTTGCCCCGGATGTTTAATACTCCCCACGGGATGGGAAACTTGACGACCTGATATAAGCTGGATGGGACGACCCTCATAGTGTGTATCTAAGGTCGTCCTATGATGGCATTGTATGATGTATCTTGATCCATAATGTGGAACATTATTTCTAGGACGATACACCGGCCAGAACAGGTAGTGTGATTTCTCCGGAAGTCCGCTCAACTGCATTGTTAAAACCCGTTAGTGTGATGCAGCGTGGCACTATCTTATCTTCAAGCCTCATTTGTGTGAGGACTCGAGGGTGGATAATGCACATGCTGCTTCCGTCATCTACCATAATCCGTTTTACATCGGTATCTGAAATACACAAAGTAATAACAAGAGCATCATAGTGAGGAAAGGTCAAATCGTGGGTATCCGACTCGTCGAAGATGATACTTTCTTCGAGGTCATCATACCTTTCATGGTGATTGATCGCTTCATCTTATGGGTGGTTGTGAACTTTACATTGTTGATTGACGCCTCGTCGCCTCCACCGATGATCATTTGGATGGTGCGGGTTGGGGAGGGTGGCTTCGGCGGTCCTTGATGATGTTCTCGTCCTCGAGCAAAGTTCGCTCTTCCTCGCTCGCTCATTAATTCTCTCAAATGCCCTTGGTGGAGCATGTTCACTACCTCTTGCCTTAAGGTGATGCAGTCCTCGGTCTTGTGACCTCGTTCCTGATGGAATTCACAGAGGGCATTCGACTTTCTGGTGTTTGGGCCGGACTTCATCTTTTGTGGCCATTTCACCTTTGGGCCGAGCTTCTCTAGGGCGTTGACTATCTCAAGGAGAAACAAAAAAATTGTGAGCAGATAGTAACGGAGGCATACCTCTCTCATTTCGGTGAGTCCTTGTCTGTGGCCTGGATGGAATGCCAAAAGAGGGGGGGGGGGGTATGACGGCAGCTCTGACGTATGGCTGGTGTCTTTCACGGTTGAGGCATGGACCTGCATGGTCCTTTCTGTTATGGTTTATGTGGTCTTTTCTCGCCTCCATTTGGACTGATGTCAACCGTTGGGTCGGTTCGTTGAGGTCGTCCTCATCTGCTCTCACCTCGGCACAATAGACATTGTGTATTTTGTACCAAGTGGTAGGGGGTATTTCATGAGCCGGCTTAACAATTTTTTGGTTGCCCTTGAACTGCTCCTGTTCAGCCCATTTTGGAATGCTGCTACCGCCATTCCTTCTGACACATTTGGGAGAGTCATTCTAACACAGTTGAACTGGGCGAGGAACTCCCTGAGCCCTTCTCCAGGTGATTGTTTAATGGCGAATATATCGTTTACTCTCGCTTCTGCTTTCTTGGCCCCAGCGTGTGTGGTGACGAACTTGTCAGCCATTTCCTCAAATGTTTCTATGGACCGCGCTGGCAGTTGTGAGTACCACATCAGTGCTCCCCCGGTGTGAGTTTCACCAAATTTTTTCAGCAATATGGATGATACTTGCTCTTTGGCGAGGTCGTTGCCCTTTACTGCGGTGACATAGCGGGTGACGAGATCCTCAGGGTCTGTTGTGCGGTCATATATCTTCAAGTATGGCGGCATCTTGAATGTTTTAGGTATAGCATGGGGTGCGGCCTCGTCGTTGTATGGTTTTTCTACAAACCGTCCGGCGTCCCAAATTGGTAGAAGCTTTGGGGTGCCTGGTATCTTATCTACCCTTTCCTGGTGCTCCCTCATTTGGTCGCAGAGTGCTTTGTTCTCGTTCTCCATCTCCTTCATTTTTCTTAGAATAGCTGTAAGGGTGTCGTTACCTGCATCATTAACAGTGTGAGTGATACCTGTTGAAGGTGGAGGGACGTTCTGCTCAATGGTTGTTGTTGTGATGTCGACTCGTGCATCTTCCCTGCTCGCCTTTTGGGCAGGTTTGTCGAGTATGCTGGTTAGCGTACTTGTTAGCCATGCTTCTAGTAATTTTTTCACTGCTGGTGGTGCTTCTTCCGTTGTGGACGTAGAGGCTCCTTTTCCATGGGAGGTGGTAACGCTGCCATGAGGAAAAGGTGAACCACTTCGTCTAGGGGAAGCATTTGGTGTCACGTTCTCCTCATCTTCTCCATTAACTTCATTGATTATGTCTAGGAGGTTAGCAGTAAGGCCTGCCACTGCCTTCAATCTTTCCTCTCCATTACCTGCCATGTTAGACGGTGCAAGTACGAAAAAGAAATTTTTGTGTTTTGTTGCTGTTGTTTTTCTTTAGATCTAGAAAAACTATGACTTTGACTAGAAAATCCCCACAGACGGCGCCAAACTGTTCGACGAAAAAGTATGAAACCTTTTGTTAAACTAATTAAATAAAAAGGTGATGGGTAAATCCTAGTTAAATATAATAAGTTCTAGATCTAACACGTGCTTGTATAAATAGTACAAAGTAATCGTTTGAGCCAATTTAATACAAATGGTATTAAATGATGCTGTCAAGAATGAATGGAGGAAAAATGATGCACAATAACTATATTAAATGGCAATAAGTGTAAATAGAGAGAATGATTCACCCAAATGTTGAATGAGGTGGATGATTCTCTTATCTAACAACGATGTAAGACAAATGGATATTGGAATATATGAGGTTTTCTCGAATCTGATGCGAGAAAAAAGGTGGAATGAACAGCAAGTCGTATCCTTATGGAAAGGTAATATTTTTGATTATCTCTCTCTAGAGTCAACTTTTCATTAGAGTGCTTATCAGAATGAACATTCCTTGCCTTTTGCCTTCTCTCTTCTACTATTTATATGGGATATTCCCAAAAACCCTTAAAAAGTACAACAGAGGGAATATTCAACAGAATATTCCCTTTGAAAGTTCCAAAGCTATACTAGCCGTTATTCCTTCTCCTCCTGCTCGTCCTCAGCCTTAGGAGCTTACTCGGCGGCTCCATATTGTCAAGCCCGGGTCGACCTCGTCCTAGTCGCCCATGATGAGACACAGTTCTCTCACTTGGTCACCTCTTCACGCCGAATTTCCTTAGCCAGATTTTGATCCATACAGATTGTTGACCTGTCTCGGACTGGGAAATGTTTTACACGCTTTAATTAAGTAGAAAAGATGAGTCAAGCAAACATAACTGAGTATGTAGATGATGAATAGATGAGAGAATAAACATGTGAAATCCTAGGTTAAGAGTTCCTAGGTGTATGACACTGGCTCTATGAGGCCTAACACATCCACAACATAAATGTAATAGTAATGCAATTATATAAAGATGGAGATATGAGATTATTATCTAAGATTGGGATAAAATAGTGTGATATATAGACGATCTTTGGATAAATTAGTCCATAAATACATTGAAGGTGGCAAAAAAAGATGAGGTAAATCTGAAATAATATAAATTGCCACAAAAATTTAAAATCTTAAACTAATTGATAGTTTACAAATACCTCGTTTACAAGTACCTTGTTTTATGTTTTGATGATCTAACAAACTTGCTATCAAGAACCAGATAAGGAACCTGTTACACATATTCTCAAGACCTTAAGATCACAAGGTTCCAGCTTGGGATATGGTTCAACTCTCCAGAGTCGAAGGAACAGCTGAGGAACAGGTCTCTACCAGCTCCCGAAGAAACCGTACGAAGTCAACTCTCCAGCTGGACAAGTTGCTGCCTGCACACGCTACAGTGCAGGAACAGTGCAACAATTGACTTTATTGGGAGGACCTTTTACCTATCTTGCTTACATCATTGTAAGTGATGTCACACATGTATTATTACAATCAAGGAAGGTAAAACAAATCACTTGAACACTCAGAGAATTCACTCAAGCTATCTCACGTGATTTATCATCCAGCAAGCAATTCTCAAGTGTATCAAGAACAAAGAACAAAACAACTACGGACCAGTTCCTACATCAAGTTATTGTATGTCCTTAGTTGAGTTGTAACTTTGTAATAGTTCTTCAAGTGTAATTCCTACTTAGCTTGTATAGAAGTATTCTGTAGGAAACCCTTTTGTAAATCTTAAGCCCTTGTGTTTGAGTCTTGGCTAGAGTTAGTCAAGTTGTAAAGTCTTTGTAATAGAGTTATTACAAAGTGGCTTGTAATAGAGTATTACAAGTTAGTGAGGGATTAAGAGGTTAATTCCTAGGTTGCATAGGTTGTATTCTAAAAGTTGCTCAGTAGTGAAGTTGAAATCCTACAAGGGTAGGTCGTGGTTTTTAATCCTGTTGAGCTGGAAATTTTCCACGTAAAATTCCTCTTGTCATTTACTTACTGCAGTGTGCATGTGTTCTAGCGAAACTGATAGAGAACCTGATGCTCTATAGAGTTTGGTGGACCCTTATATTCTATCAATTGGTATCAGAGCAGGTTCTTTCTATCAGGTTAACACCTAGAAAGGATCCTCATGGCTGCTCCACCAAACTTTGAAGAAGGCCAATCTACTTACAAGCCACCAAGGTTTAACGGCCAATATTACTGATGGTGAAAGACTAGGATGCACGACTTCATCATGGCTGAAGATTCAGAGCTATGGGATGTTATATGTGATGGACCCTTTGTTCCTACCAAGCATCTTGGAGACCCAGCTGTAGCCATTCCCAAGACAAGGAAAGAATTCAATGACGATGATAGAAAGGCCATAGAGAAGAATTTTCATGCAAAGAAAATGCTGGTTTGTGGCATTGGTCCTGATGAATACAACAGGTTATCGGCATGTCAGCCAGCCAAAGAAATCTGGGAAGCTCTTCAGACAGCTCACGAGGGAACAACACAGGTGAAGCAATCCAAGATTGATATGCTCACAACTGAATATGAGCTATTCAGGATGAAAGATGATGAATCCATCCAAGATATGCATACTCGATTCACCTGCATCATCAATGAGCTTCACTCTCTTGGTGAATTCCAAGAAACAAGCCTTTTAGAAAAATCCTTAGTGTACTGCCCAGTTCTTGGGAAAGCAAAGTAAACGCCATTACAGAGGCGAAGGACTTGCAGGCACTGACCATGGATGAACTTGTTGGAAACCTGAAGACGTATGAAATGAAGAAGAAGAAGGACAATGAAAGAAGAGAGCCCAAAAGAGAAAAAAACATGATCCTTAAGACAGATAGCAATGACTCAAGTGGTGAAGATGGTGATATGGCATATCTGACAAGAAGATTTCAGAAAATGGTTCACAGGAATGGAGGTATTCCAAAAAGGGGTAGTTCTAGCAAGCCAAAAATTTATGGCCTTTGTGATAAATGTGGCAAGCCAGGACACTTCATCAAGGACTGTCCTCTCCTAAAGCAAGATCAATTCAAGCACAACTCAGACAAAGCAGCCAAAAGGAACCTAGTTCCTGATAAACGTTTCAAGAGAAAGAATGACACAGATAATGTTGGGGGGACTCCTCCAGCGAGCCTGAAGTAGAAAATGATCGTGGTGATGTTCAATGATGGCAGTGGAAAGTGAAGCAACTGAGTATGACTCAATTTTTTCTTTGATGGCTCAATCTGATAACGATGAAGATGACGACGATGATGAGGTAAATTTTCTAGATGTTTAGAGAAATCTGAAATCTTACTCTCCTAAAAAGCTCATGTCATTAGCAAATGTATTAATTGATGCTTACCATAGTCTTATAAATTATAAAGATGCGTTAACTATGGAATTAGGAGAAGCTGAACAAACCAGAGATGACCTAATAGTCGTTGTAGTTGATTTGAAAGAAACAATAGAGAACCTGAAAAATAAAAAGGATGCCTTAGATGAGAAAATTGACAGTATAGAACATGAAAGAGATGATCTAATA